CCTTTGAAAATGCAGACCAATTACTGCTTTTGAAAAATGGCATATCAACGAATCCAATGCAGAGGACTCATGCAACATCAAAGTTCCCCCACTAGAGACTCATGCTCCTAGCTACTCTGTTAACCTATTGGTAATTAAAAAACGCTATCTGTCGCCGTCGAAAATTACGTAAGCGTCATCTTCTGACCTATCCGTGAACCATTATTAGTCCTAGCTTCAGCTGTAAGTCGTACCATATCTTTAATATTCTTATTAGTGATATATTCAGACTTGAAGTTGGCACCCAATGTGTCAACCACCTGTTCCTCCTTTAAACATCGAATAACATAGAAATTATCGCCAAAACCTTCTGTTTTTATCGCTCGATCACGGCTTTTCAAATTTCACTCGTGCGGAGAGCTATATGCGAATGAGAAGTGCGGCAGAAGGCAGGTTACTAATAAAAGTTTAAATAACAAAACTAAGCTGGAAAAAGCGACACTAGATAAAGTAAGGTAAATAGCAAAAAAGACCCAACTAGAACTGCTCAATAATGATTCTGAAAAAGTAGCAGACACTATGAAGGTTTGGAAAAAGTAATAAATTACGCTACAACCAGATGAGTAAAGGAAGAACAAGACGTTCAAAGTCTCAGCCTTGAGAAGTGAAAAAAATAAAATGATGGGATGCGAAGGATACGAGCTCAAGAGGAAGCCGATATGGAATACCCACAAATTTACTGAACTTACACGGCAAAATAACAGAGATTGAGAAAATGTATGCGTACGACGTCATAAACGTCTTCAAAAAATGTTGCTTCCACTCGATCACATTCAAAAGAAGCGGACTTACGATTGAAATTCTAATCTGAAGCTAAGTAAAGTGGAAGAGTCAAAGATAAATAAATTTTTAAAAGGATTGACCAAAAAAATGAAATTATTTTCAGCTGTTTGCAAAATAGCTTTTATAAATGAGCACCAAAAGAGGTACTTACTCTAAGATAATTTTTGATTTAGATATTTACCTGATATTCTTCTCACCAAAGAATGTGTACAGTAGAACCGATTGACCGAAGCACTGCCGTAGTAGCAGAATTACTAAAAGAAAAAGAGGAGAATAAACCATCAGTGAAATTAAATAACACGACATATAGTGGTTGAAAGCCTGTGCTAGCTACTCCTATTTATATAACTACACAATTCCAATACTTCTATTAACTCTTTGCTATTGTTCAGATCAAAGATAGGCGCTAAACTTTCAGAAAGTTAGAAGTGCATAATCAAGCAAGGAATTACGAAAGATAAACAGGATTGGATTAGAAGATTCTGATAATTGAAATAAAGCCAAATTTCTGAAAGAAATGTAAATTTGTTGACGAATACAGCAAACTGTAATTGAGCTCAATCCTTCAATAGTCCTGATCTCTTCTTGCAATTTAAAACTAATAAATTCGGCATCAGCTTAGTAATAAAGTTCTTAAATCTTCTGAAATCTAAGTTGATTATTAAGAAAAATTACCAATTCTTAAACTTGACTTCCTTGAAGCTGCAGTACTTGAAACCTTATTTTGAAACTTACATTAGTTGGTTTACTTTACGATTAATATTCAGTTTTCGTCTGTTCATTACTATTGTTCCAGAAGATTCCCAAGTTTACAATTAGCAATTCTTTTCTGCAAAAACCATTCAGTTATTTATTCACCTTCCATCAAAACGATCAAAATTTGGAGTAATTTCAAAGCAACATTGATAAAGACACATGAAGTGCATGTATTTAAACTTGGTTTAGATGACACTCAGTTGGTTTTCATCCTCGTTGAGTATTTCGCTAAATTATAATGTTAATTGTTGGTAATATTCTGTTCCCGTATCCAAGTTTTTGTTCACCTGATAAGACGTCTCCTTGCTTAAGTTTTAAGAAAATAAGCATAGGAAGTAACGTTAAACAATACAGTAATGACTCTTTCTAGTTTTAAAGGTGTCAAATTTGTCCGACCATTCGCCTACGGCAAATATTTGTAGTGGAACCTATGCGTAGATGAGAATACTGTAGAGCACTCCAAGGACTGCAGCGATTGGGTCCTTAATGCTAGCGGCAGTCAGCTGTCAGCAGTTGAATATGGCAATCCTTCGTTGGTTGGTCAGTGGCTGCAGTTGTCGTCATGGCTGCCGTATGCAAAAGCGCAACGCCTACGGTGATCACCGCAGAGTGGTGTTCAGCCAATTCATTGTGCTGTTCCTGGACTTATAGTTTTTCTAGGTATCTTTCATCAATTTCTTCGTCTACTGTTAACTAAATATTTCTTTGTTGGTTTTATCTTGAACCTGCCCATTAGCTATGTCACATGAAGGAATATGCTGCCTTTGATGTTAGAAGTACTGCACTGTTATATGTGCTACTTTTTTTCAGTTTTAATATGGCTCTCGCCTCAATGCCCTCACTTTTTATTACCTTTTTGACGCTTTTCACAAGATTTTCATTTCATGTTAGCTACAGATGTGACAAATACTTCAAGCAAAAAATTCTCTTTGATTTACTTCAACATTTAACATTCGAGTAAAATAATCATATATTTCTCTATTATTAAAAAATTATTAAATGTAGCAATGCTTTTATTATTTGTTTTTATTGAAAGATAGAAGGCTTCCTCATAAACCTCCGCTGCAGAAATATTTCTCACTTCTTGGTACTACGTTCGATGATATTTAAAGGTTCAGCTGTAGCTCTCCGAACATGAAATCTACAACCACCGACCAACAGTTTTCGTAAATTTAAATATAACTGAAATATAGAGCATTTTACAGAAACTGGTCTAGTATATGTGCAGAAAGCCACCCAACAGTTAACCTCAAACAGTTAGAACGACCTACGTCATTTACCACTCAAAACACACATTCTATCAAGATTAGGAAATCAAAAATTTAAAAAACTGCAATTTCAGAAATGTAGTGAGAATTTTAGCTATACTTTTATCATAATCTGAAAACTGTATAAGAAAAGATTTTATTTGAGAAATTCTTTCAAATCAAATGCTAATTACTTTAGACCCTTAGAATTTTAAAAACTCTCTTGAAAGCCTCGAACCTGGAAAAATGGTGTTCTTTTCAACTGCTAAAAAAAAAGACGCCAAATTTGACAATGCGGAACACGAAAGGATTAAAAAGGGTTTATATCACCACCAAAACAAAACAAGAGAATTAAGAGACAATTAATATCAGTAAACTGATCTATTTCGACAGTTAATAAGTGTGGACAATTTGTGTGACTGCTGTTTAGCAAAAAGAAATCAGAAGTCTTAAGAGATGACGACATAGCAAAAAACTTGCATTTTATAAATATTCAAACCTACAAATTTTTTAAGGAACAGTGGCGCCTCCAAGGTCTTTTTTGAGAAACTGTTGTAAGTCAAACGGCGTTATGCTTCCGGATCGTGTAAGTTTTACTTAGTTTAAATCTCGCTTATAATTAGGGTAACAGTTACATTTAACCTAATAACCACAGAAAAGAACGACAAGTTTAGAAACAAGATTGTTGCAGTTTACATTAATAGCCACTTTTTCCTTGGGAACCGTCCAGAGCATTTTAAAAGAAGCACATAGAACCGATATGAGGCGCTGACTTCGCCTCAGAATCACAAATGAGTCACTGTTGGCACTCATGCGCAAAACTACGCAGTACAAAGCTTATGCTGAAAATTATATAGAAAAAAAACGAAGTCAGCACGTGTTTTTCGACAAATGATAAAAACAATTTTTTAGGTGAACGACTTAACTGTACAACACAAAAGAACGACAACGGAAGATTGAACCTTACCGCCAGAAATATTTTGATAAAGGATGCAGAAGAATAAACGATTTTTTCAGAATTTGTATGAAGACTATATAAGCATAATTTATTTCGCAAACAATTCGGTATTGGGAAAGTAAGCACGAGTGATACCCTCACAACAAAGTTTAAAAAATGCAGTTAAAAGTCATTTACAACAAAAGGTTTCAAGCAGAAAATTGAACAGATAAGAACAGAGTTTTATGTATACAAGATTCATTTCAAAAGCGCCTGGATCTAAAAGAGAGTGCTCAAAAGTATCTCCTACGCATGAAAATGCAATATCCAGCAAAATGATCTCCCGTTACTGTATTTGTGTCGTTTCTGGAACGAAGTTGATTAGAAGCTCAGTGACAAAAAGAAAAAAGTTTCTGCTTGATACCATTCTACCCACAAATCATTTTTTTTTGTTTTCTAGAAAAATAAGGAAATTGCAAACTAAAATTATTTTAGGCTTTCAATAGTTAAAAATTAATCTTCATGTGAAGTGAAATCATATTATAAAATTTGTACCAAGGTTAAACACGCGACGAAATTGCTATGGCAGTCTTGCAACCAGCTTGAATAAGCCATTTGAAGGCACCAAAAAATGGGGCTTGCAAGCCGCCGTGTTCAACAGCAGTGTCGTGGTGCTCAATTTCATCGTCTCGAAACTTAGAAAGCTTCTCGAGTAGTTCAGCATGCGCTGTGGGATCGTCTTCGACGAGCTTTTCAATTTGGCCACTATAATGTTTGGCAATTAGCTCTTCAACAGCCACCGTCAGACCCATTGCAGTACGCACTCCCAAAATTCCACTTACGTAACCCAAACCAAAGCCAATAAAATGATAGAGTGGCGTAAACACTGTCTTTCTGACTTGATGTTTTGCGCAGAGACGTTCCATTTCGCAAAGATGCTCTGTTTCCTGATTCTGCAAGTGTTGAAGAATCGAACATACAGGATCTCTCTGAAGGGCAGCTATTTGTCCAGCATAAATTTTGTAAGCAGCATATTCGCCAGCGTGATCTACTCGCAATACTCGATGGGTTAGGCTTTGTCGACCCAACTTGGGCAGTAAAGATGCCAGAGCTTTCTGCATCGTAATGTTTGCTTCAATTTGGATTTTAACTGCTACAAACAAGTCAGCTCTTAAAGTATTAAGCTTACTGGTAAACTTAAAGTTTCGTAATAGAATGCCTAAATAAAAAAAAAGTACGCATAAATTTCAAGCTTCGGAACTCTTCTACGAGGACGAAAGCAATATATTTTAGCAAAGTTTATTGTAAGTGAGTGAGCTTAAAGACTGGACACTGGCAAAAAAAGTGAATTAGCAGAGTAATTCGTTTTTGAGAAAATTCCGTTCATCATTTTTGAACAAACCACTACTGTTTTGCGCAAATCACCATTTAGGGAAAAAATCTTCCAATGTGTGAGACTTTTATATGAGACAACAAAAAATGCTTGAACAGCATCGTGGTGTTTGCTATAAGAAGCCTTTTACATTTACAGTAGTGCCGCAGGTATGTCCAGACAACATTAATCTCAGCCGCGCGTCTCCCAGGTAGGAGCTTCACCACTAAGTGAAGGTTGGGAAGAACAAATACGGAAAAAATAATGTCAAAATTTCCTCTGTCGACTGCATAGTGTATTTGGAACAGTAACGTCTGATGTATCCTGCTTTAAGCACCGCAGTGGCCTTAAAAGGGCTGTCGATAGGCTAATAAGAGGATGGTAGTACAGTAAAGAACATTATCAGTTAACCCCATGTCAAACAGAAACTCGATTCTGAAGAATAATCAATACAGAAATCGTTTCATAAAACCGAGTTCTTGCTCCGTTGATTATAAGGAGGATTTGAAAATTTCAAGACAGAGCATTAATGCAACAGAAAATTTATTCAATTGATTATTATTATTACAAGAAAGCCTCTTATTTACTCAAAGAGTAGACGCAGGATTGTCATCTATCAATTGTATGTCAACAGTTTCTACTAATAAGGCTGTTGTTTGCGACATCACTCAATTCTGGCGAGTGGAGAATGTGAAGATATGGAAACATAAGCAAATACGAGGAATCATTTTTGTGGCTTTTTTACTGGAGCTGTTGAATAACCTAGAAATACTTGTGTGCTATTTAAAAGATGTTTCCTTGTAATACACTTCTTCTTAGGTCTCACGTTTTCCAGTAACTGAAACATTATTAAGAAACTACTTCCTCAGGAACAATTTCGAGTATGATTTCAAACTATGAGCATAATTCCCGATGAATAACATAACTTTGAAGAAGTAAACATGTATGTCTTCCGTGTGCAGTATCACTGAGAATTTTACGCTGTTAATTTTCGTGTTGGAAACTGTCGTCAATAATCAGCTGTTAACAGTTCGTCAACAAAAAATTTTAACGTAACATTATTGCCGACCACTGCATTTCATTTCCAACTATACGTTTCGCAGAATCAGGCGCGAAGTTAAAGGGTTTCATAAAATCGAGTTCCCTGCCGTACGTATATTAGATCTGCGGATCCTCCTAACTGCTAATTTCCCTGTGCAAAAAAAATGATGGAATAAACAAAAGTGTACGTATACTCATTCACGTCCAGTAAACTACTGTTTTTGCGCGTCGCGAAGACTACAGCAACACTACAGCAACATTCCGCGCTAATGATTTTATGCGCGTTGGGAGGGACGCAACTACATTTCGCGTTATTACTTTCGCGCGCGTCGCAGGGACCACTCTGCCAAATGAGTGCTGGTTTAGAACGGTTTTGTGGTTTGAAACGATCACATAAAACTTGAGTAATTTGAGCACAGAAGCGCTTGTCAGTTACTGCAATTTTTTGTAGTTAACACCCAAAAACCTATTTAATTAATAAACTGCAGTATCTAAAAGAGTGATGTTGTGGATTCTAGAACTCAATATTTCACTTAGTAACGAAGTTGGGCTGAGTGATTCCAGTGCTTCCAGTAAACAGACAAATGTTAAACGACAGTCATATAATAACATAAAATACGGTGAGTGATAGGACTAAGGAAAAAACCATTTTTAATAAAAGGCTATATGGTGAAAAATAACGAATCAAAACACTGTAAGCGATGATATACGTTGTCTCCTGCAGCGGCCACAATGCAACTGACCACCGGCTCTCTTTTAGTTTAATGACCTTAGCGACTGGTGACCTCAACTGCTTTTTTCCACCCACTCTTTTCAATGGCCGTATTTTGCATTATCGACTGGCTGTCGAACAATTTAAAATTTATGGTTTAAAGGAAGCGTCAAATTCGACTTTGTTATTGACCATAATACTAACTTTTAGAATCCACCAGATAATTTCAGGCGATACAGTTCCTGATTGCTTGATATATTTTCAAGTCTTGGTTGCGGAAAACTGCTAAAAAGAATCCGGTGTTCAAATTACTAAAGTTTTGTGCAACTGTCTCAGGGCGATGAGCTCTTCCAGCCACTAAAACAATGACAGTTATTCATTTGATTGTTCCCGAGCACACTTTTTTCGGATCAAAGCATTTCTAATAAAATTGTTAAACTTTATTTTTATCCATTTTAGCTTTTTATTTTGGGATCTTTTGCTGTGTCTGACTTTCCAACTACGTTATTAGAGATTTATATCTAAAACGTTATTGCCGTTTGATCTTTATTTGCTGAATCGTCAAGAAAACATTTTACTTGTGTAATTATTTTTAGTTGAACTTTAAACTTGTTTCATACATTTCTGCAATGCCTATTCAAACATTTTTCAAAAGTAATGTTCACTTTCCGAGTTTCCTATTCGTGAACGGTACAAAACTCGTCAAATAATATAGATTGTCTCATTGCCTTCTAAAGATAATATAAGACATGGTTTTCTAAAGGAAATAATTTAAATTTTTAGTTTCCGGATGTTTGAATTAATTATGTGATGTAAGTATAAAATAAAACAGGTAATCCTAATTGTCTGGAATCAGCTGTGCAGTGGTTGTCTAGGCACAAACGAGAGCAGTATTCGTGAATTGCTTTGTTGCTTGATTATAGTTGAATTTGCAGAAACTGTTGCCAGAGGGCTGCCAGTTTTATTTGCTGAAACTGCAGCATAGCCATAAGATACCGTAAAAATCATAACATACAGTAGAACTTACTTTTTTAGTAAAGCCTTATAAGAGAACATTTGTTTTTAGTTTATCAAAACAGAAATAAAAGTCTTATAGGATATTTAAAGTAAGATGAAGATCTGTAGAAGAATCACACGGTCTTATTTTCTCATTGTCTTGTAGGGTATTGTTGAGCATTAAAACGTTTTCTAATAAGAAATTGCTGATCGATCCGTAAATCAAATTCTTATACCGTTTCATGTTTGGCAGAGGATGTAAATGACTGATTGACATCTGTCTTTTTCTCTTCGTTCTTTTTCCGTTTTGCACTTTGTAACCTCGAGTCTCTTTGTAGCACTTTGTTACTTTGCTTCATTCGCGCTTTGAAATGCTAGTTGTGATAGTAGTGAATAGGAAGTTTCTTGGGCCAACGTTAAGATACACCAGATATGGTAGGTGTCCCAGTAATTTGCTTAACGACAGATGAAGACTAGATCTGCTGTTGACATTGTGTCATTAATTTTCCCTCGTTTTCGTTGCACCTTTTTGAATCACTGTATAAATATGCGTTCAAATTTGAAAATTGCACACCTCTAGTCAATTAAGTCTCGTTCAGAATCAGTGGTGCCACCTGACAAGATACTGGCACATAGTGCCATTAGCTACTCTCTTTCATTGTTAACGGCGTAATTTAGAACCGATTTTAAGAGGTATTTGATGGCGCAGAGGGAAAATTTGATACTGTTTAGTTTTCCAAATTCTAGTTGGCTGTACTTTAAGTTAAGAAGAACTTAATGGACTGACAAGTCAATGAGTACTGAAG